GCAAATCACAGTTACTCAATGCCTGGAGAAATAAATTTACCTTTCGGGAGTGTTTGGAAACACTAATGAGTTTCTAAAACAGCGATTTATACTCACTGGTTTTGGTGAGTCGACCACAATGAAACCAAAATGACTACGCGTCAATAACAGGACCTTTTCCTCTGAAAAGTAGAAGAAAGAGAAAAATTATTACTGCGCAAACGATGCTTCTAAACAATTATTCGCGTGACTCACTAATTGCTCCTACAAGAAAAAGAAATTAGCCACGCGATTCATGCAATCCTCTTTCAGTGTAGATTTAAAGCATTAAAAATCAGCTCCACTTACTATATGTGCCCCCAGCGCTACCAGTCATAGACAGCTTACAGTTTATAAACTTACCGTGTTCAGTTAGTTAATCTTTTGATGGAAATGAAACTAAAAGTGATAGAAACTGAAATAAAACTAAGGGAGTTTCCCTGCAAGACAATAGGAGTTCAAATAGGAAGTCAACACAAATTTAAATTGAAATACGTTTCAAACATTGATCATAACAATCAAAGAAAATCACTCGAAATCAAGTTGCATGTTTCTATTTCCATTAAATACTGTCCAATAGCTTTGAAAGTATACTGGGTTTCTGACCATTGGTAATAAATGGGAATGGTTATTAAGCAAGACAAAGTTCTTTGTTGTATGTTCTTGTTCGCTCTTTGGAAGAGTAAGTAAAGTTAAACCAATTAGCACTGCGCGGACGATGCTTTTAAAGAATTATTCGCTTGACTCACTAATACTTGTAATAACATGAAGAAAATCGGTTACGTGATTCATAATTTGTTCTATGTACACCCAACTCTATCAGTCACCAGATCAGTCACAGACAGCTTGCTGTTTATAAACTTACCGTATTCAGTTTCTCGATCTTGTGATGAAAGTGAAATCAAAAGTGAAAGAAACTGAAAAGACACTGTAAGAGTTTCCCTGCAAAGCAAGTGGAAGTCAAGGAAAAATACAAATTAAATTTTGTCAGGAGCCATAATAGAATTATTGTCCCATATCATGGGGACAACCCCAATACTAGAAATGCCGCGCGCTTACGGTCTCCGTCCCCAATTATGGCTCCTGATTTTGTATAATTTTCAAACGCGGCTCAAACCAATTGAACTAAAACACTTCTTCTGAAGTGTGTTATTACATTTTTTGCTACCTCCATTTTTGCTCATGGATGTTATATAACATCCATGAGCTTAGGAGGCAGTCGGATGGCGCTCACTCACTCACTCACTCCATTCTAATTAATTTATTCATTAAACCTGGATTAAACAATTTTCTCCTACCTCCCCTGCTAAGTATTGTTTTTGTCCAAGAGTGTTCAGTTGTCTTCCGGAAGGTTCTTTGACGAGGGGGGACTAGAAAGGCGTACATTTTTGCCCGATAAATCGAGACCCTGGGTACGAGTTTGTCGAACACCTCGAAGATTGAAGTGGGCTATTTTGATTTCGTGTGATTTTCTTTCGTAAATATGTTGTTTTTTTGCCTATCGGCTTTTGCTCACACCTGGATGAAAGCTGGTAGAGGTATTTATGACTGTGGTCATGTATCGTTCGCAACAGCACGATCGCCGAGGTCAAAGAAGTGATACAAGACACCCGGGAAGACAGAGCCAGAAAGTGAGATAATGATTAGCTTTTTTTCTTGGCAAGAGAATTTGATGGTTTTCATTCTCTTTCTCTCGTTGTGTAGTCAAAGGTAAGCTGAGGTTCTTGTTAGGTTTTGGTTTCATTGTTTCTTTACTGTTCTATTTTGCACGCACACATTGAAATTTTGCCCGTGTTAGTATCGCAAGCTCGAGATTTGTAAGCTTGTTTTTAAATACTTAGGGGAAAAAAATGTCGAATTGCCTTATCTTTTAGTTTTGTTGTCGTTCACACTACATTTCTTTTGTATTCCATGCAGTTCGACCAGAGTGAAAATTTCTTCACGGATGATATAAAAGGCAACCCTACATGTACGATTGAGTAAATATACACTGCAATATTTTAGTGATGGATGAACAAATTAAGTCCAAGAGACTGTGTAGATCTATTTTTTGCAAGGAAGATACGTTGTCCAATTGTGTCAAAAAGCCGGACGCATGGTGGCTGGTGATGTAGAGTTTTTTTTTTTTTTCTTGCTCCTGAANTCCCTGCAAGACAATAGGAGGTCCAATATATAGAAAGTCAAAACAAATTAAAATTGCAATGAGTTTTAAACACTGCGCAAAGCAATCAGATAAAAACGTTTAAAAGTAAGTTACATTTTTTCTATTCCCATTCCCTACTAAACACTGACGGTAAAGTCCAGTAACTTTCAGAGCATATTGGGTTTTGAGCATAGCTAATAATCAGTCAAGTGGTTATCAGGCTAGAGAAAGTTCTGTGTTGTCTGTTGTTATTCACTCTTTGGTTTAACCGTACATAAAAACAATAGGAGTTAACTCAGTTCTGCCTTAGTGACTAACCGATAGAACGTTTCAATTATGTAATTAATGCACTGTGTATGACTGTAAAATCGAAAGATTGTTCACAGTCCTGGACCTTTCAACATAACTCTTAGCATCTTTGTTTTCTCTTTGAAGTTTCTCGGGCTTAGAAACTACTCCAGTGTACCATTTAACTCTGTGTTTGCTGATTAATAAAATTAACATTGCATACTGATTATCATAATACGTCAAGCATGGAAGATGTATCTCGAAGTTTCTGGAGTGTCAAAACGTCAGCTTGACAGGTTGTGAGATAAGATAAAAATCCAGGCGGGATGTGGAAAGCGGGATTCGGGATGAACATATCTTGGCCTGAGCAGCATGTGTTCATTTCAACCAGAAAATGCGGGATAAATTTGAAATCGAGAGGCGGGATACGGGATGAAAAAAAAACAAGGCAAATCACGGTTACAAAATGACTAGAGTTATTAGTTTACCTTTTGTGAGTGCTCGGAAACACTAATGAGTTAAAGAGAAAGAATTTTTTTAAACAGCTTGCCAATCGTGTTTCGGTCACACCAACGTCGCTACTTATAACTGGTTTTAATTAGTCTTTAATACATGACGTCAATAGTTAGTGGTAAGCTTCGACGTTGCGGTCACAAATTCTCTCAGGTTCTGGCTTTGCATTGAAAAAGGGAATTGAGTGTGAACAATTTACATCATTATTTCATTCTGCTATGAATATATTATAACTAAGCTAAAATTATTTTTTATAGTCACTTGCTTTGGTGAGTCACCAGAGTGAAACCAAAACCAATATGGGTCAATAACAGGACCTTTTCCCCTGAAAAGTAAGCAAAAAGGGAAAGTTAAATAAATTGTTACTACAAACAAAAAACGGTGATTCCAAACATTCATTTGCGTGGCTTAATTTTTCGCGTGACTCATTGTTAAAGCTTACAGTAGGAAGAAAATCAGTCACGCAATTCATGCAAGTCTCTTCCAGTTAACAAATAGATTCCATGTTGCCGTGCGTCTCTTCAGTAATAGATCACAGTTTTCTGATAAAAGTGAAACCGCAAGGGGTAGAGACTAAAAATACACTGAAGCAGTTTGCCTACAAGACAATAGGAGGTCCGATGGGAAGTCAATAAAAATTAAATTCAAACAAAAAGTGTCAAATGTTATGGATCAAATACAAGCATTCGAAAGTAAGTTACATTTTTTTCTATTCCCATTCTTTGTTAAACACTGACGGTAAATTCCAATAGCTTTCAAAGCATGTTAAGTTTTTCACCATGGCTAATAATCAGTGAAATGTTATCAAGCTAGACAAAGTTCTTTTTTGTATATTCTTCGTTCTTCAGCTTAACCGTGCATAAAACACATCTAGATTAACCAACAGAACGTTTCTGTTATGCAATTAATGCACTGTGTGTGATCGAAACAAAAGATTGTTCACAGTCCTAGACCTTCCAATATAAATCTTCACATCTTTGTTTGCTCTTTTGAATTCATGTTCTTGGGCTTTAAAATTATTCCAGTTTCTTGTTAAATTCTGTTTTGGCTGATAAATGAAATTTACATTTCAAACCTTCCTGTCATAGACAGACTGATTTACTCTGAAGAGAAATGAGACAGCTATTAAAAGCTACTTTTGCCATCGTTCTGTTATAAAATATGGAAGACAGTGAGTTAAGTTTTCGTCAGGTTTCTCTTACAATGTACTTCGTACTATTTGGTCGATTTCAAGCTCTCGTTTTCCCATGGTAACAGACATCAGATCTGACAGAGCGTAAAACTTGCTATGTGAAAGCAAACGATGGAGCTTGCAATTAACCATCACTTAATGATTATCTGAATGTCGCAGCAATTATAATCGAGCTCTATATTATTCTAACTATTTAAGATAGAAACCAGACGACGCAAAGTTAGCTAGAGCTGTACTTACCACGACGGAACTTGCTTTGGAAAGTGAAACTACAAAAATAGCTTAACTACAACTGGTTTTGATTAGTCAATTTGACGCTTTCCCTATAGCTGCACGCGCACGCGCATCTTTTTATTTCCGTTAACTTCGAAATTTATCTAGCGTATTGTTTTCCAACGCAATGTAACGTATGATTTGTAACAGGCACGTTTTAAATCACTGTTAACTTTCATAACCGTCACACTGACGATGACGGATGTACTGTCGAAACGTGTTTGTGAAAAATTAAAAAAGTCGTATTATTTTTGAAAATTTCTACATTTTTGCTGCTGTCTCGACCTTTTGATTAGTCCATTTTAAGAACACGACGTCAGTAGTTAGTGATTACGGTTCACGATACGGTTACAAATTCTCGCAGGTTCTTTCTTTGCGTTCAAAAAGTAGATCGACTGTAAACAGTTTACTTAATGATTTCAGTCTACTATGAATAACAAAGCTAACAAGAATATTGATTTATACTCACTGGTTTTTGGTGAGTCGACCAGAATGAAACCAAAATAAATACGCGTCAATAACGACACGTTTACCTCTGAAAAGTAGAAGAGAAGCAAAATTTAAGCGAATTATTACTGCGTTAACGATGCTTCCAAACAATAATTCGCGTGACTTAAATTTTCGCGTGACTCACTAATAGTTCTTATAACAAAACAAAAATCTGTCACGCGATTCATGCTAACCTCTCCCAGTGTAAATTTGAAGTATTAAAAATGGGCTATACTTGTTATATGTGCACCCAACGCTATCAGCCACGGACAGCTTACAGTTTATAAATTTACTGTGTTCAGTTCCTCAGTCCTCTGACGAAAATGAAACCAAAAGTGATGGAGACTGAAGTAACACTAAGGGAGTTTCCCGGCAAGACAACAGGAGGTCCAATAGGAAGTCAACACAAAATATAATTGAAATAACTTTCAAACATTGAGTGGCACAATCAAACAAAAGCACTCGAACGCAAGTTGCATTTTTCTATTCCCATTCTTTGTTGAATACTGACAGTAAAGTCCAATAGCTTTGAAAGCATACTGGGTTTTGTCCATAGGTAATAAATGGAAATTGTCAAGCTAGACAAAGTTCTTTGTTGTCTGTCGTTGGTCGCTCTTTGGCTTAACCGTGCATAAAACTCAGAGTCTTAAAATAACTGAGGAGAATGTGCTACCTTTGTAATTACATCTGCAAATGGTTAGACATTCAAGTTTTTTCGGATAAGGACTATAAAACGTAGGCCCCGTCTCCTGCATCTTCAGTGTTACATGGTTAGCAGCCTGGCACGTTAAAGAACCCACACACTTATCGAAAAGAGTAGGGCACGTAGTTCCCGGTGTTGCGGTCTGGCCTTGTCTCACGGGCTGGTGCTTCACTTAGGGTAAACCCAATGCACCTTTTCCCCTTGGACAGAATTGTCCAAGAAAAATGACTATGACCGTGACCGTGACCGTGACCGTGACTGTGACTATGACTAAACCACAATGGGTGATTACTCAATTCTGTCTCATAGATTAACCAACAGAAACGTTTCGGTTATGTAACTTATGCACTGTGCTCGTAAGATTGTTCACAGTCCTGGACTTTTCAATATAAATCTTAGCATCTATGTTTGATCTTTTTAAGTTTCCCGGCCTTAAAAACAATTCCAGTCAACTACTAAACTCTGTGTTGACTGATTAATGGACTTGCAGACATTCCACGCCGATTCCTATCATAGACAGACTGACTTGCTCTGAAGAGAAATAAGGCACCTATTGAAAGCTACTTTTGCCATCGTTCTGCTGTAAAGTATGGAAGACAGTGAATTAACTTTTCGTCCGCTTTCTCTTTATAATGTTCTTTTGTACCATTTGATCGATTTCAAACCCTCGTTTTCCCCTGGTAACAGACATCAGAACTGACAGATCCAAAAACTTTGTTGTTTACCAGCCAACGGTGGTGTAGTGCCGTGACTAATTCCGCACGTGTGGCATGTATCAGCAACCAATCAAGTAATATCAGTTGTTTTCGGTATTTATATCAGCAGCCGTAATGCATGCGCAGTGTGTGTGGAAACCAAGAGATGCGACTGTCGATTCGTGTATATTAAAGCAAGAGTTATTTTATTTACCGCGACTCTACAGGTGGAGCTTGCAATTAACCGTCACTCAATGACTGTCTGAATGCCATGGCTACTCCGTAAACACTAAAATCTTAAATTAAGACGCTTTTGTATTTTAGAGACTGGTGCCGAGGTGACACGGTAAATCTTAATTTAAGAGGTATTATCTTACTTAAACACTACAAATCATCTTAAAATAAAATGGTTACATCTCAGTTTGAGGCACGAGGAAAGAGGCAGTTTCCATCTTAATTTAAGATACACTTCGTCCTAATTTAGGTTTTTCAGCCTTAAAATTAGCTGTCAAACATCTAAACGACGAGATACCCAGGTAAGATTACTTTTCACTTCACAGTCACAAGTAGTTAGTGATTACGATTACAAATTCTCCCAGGTTCCTTCTTTGCGTTCAAAAAGTATATCGACTGTTAGTGATTTCAATCTACTACCGGCAAAGCCATTAAAATGTTGATTTATACTCACTGGTTTTCGTCAGTCGACGAGAATGAAACCAAAATGAATACGCGTCAATAACAGGACCCTCTGAAAAGCAGAAGAGAAGGAAAAGTTAAACAAATTATTACTGAGTAAACGATGCTTGCAAACATTTATTCGCGTGACTCAATATTAGCAAAAACATGAGGAAAATCAATCACGTGATTCATGGAAACCTCTCCCAGTGTAAATTTAAAGTATTAATAATTAACTAATTACTTGTTTTATGTGCACCCAACGCTATCAGTCACGGAGAGCTTGCAGTTTATAAACTTACCGTGTTCGGTTTGTCGATCTTGTGATGAAAGTGAAACCAAAAGTGATAGGAACTGAAAAACACGCTGTGAGAGTTTTCCTGCAAAGCAAGTAGTAGTCAAGGAAAAATGAAAATGAAAATTTAAATAAGTTTCAATCGCGGCTCCAAACAATTGATTTAAAACACTTCCTCTAAAAGGTGTTTTTACATATTTTGCTATCTCCATTTTTTGTCAACATACTAATGGGAAAGTCCAATAGCTTTAAAGGCATATTGAACGTGCGTGACTTCGTTTGCAGGAGGTATGAAAGTTTCTGTCAAAATTGTTTCCAGCAGAGTGGAACCCCGCCTTACGGTCACCTCGTTATTACGGCCACTTTTTTTGTCTCGGTCAAACGCCCATACTTACCTTTATGAGAAAGCCCTGTTAATGCGGCCACCCCGATAATACGGCCAACGACCATTCTGAAATTCCAACCTGTATGATCCTTGATAACTTTACCCTCTTTATACGGCCACTTCGAGTTATGTTCTTCTTTCCACGGTTAATATTGTATGCACTGGTTGAAGAACAGTTGTTTTAAGAAGTGCAATTCTGATATATGAGGGTCTCATTTGGGTTTAACCGTTAGCCGTAAAAGGGCCAAAAATTTAACCGTTAGGCGTAAAAAAGCTTAAAATTCAATCGTTAGCCGTAAAACAAATAGAAACCGTTGACCGTAAAATAATATATTAGCGCAAATTAAAGGCCTAAAAAGTCTTGTAAAGAACTCCATTTGCGTATCGTGATGATGAGTTAGCTGTTGAATCGGAAGAACTGGTCACTAGTTGCGTTCGGGAGAACGTAGTTCTAATCGGGTAATGGAGAAAAAATCCAGTTTTTGTGTATGTTTCTTCCTATGGACACCAATTTGGCCCCC